AAGGGGAGGGGGGAGGCGGATGGAAAGTAGAGTGAAGAGAAAGAGAAAGAGAGTGGGAGGGGGGGTGGGGAAGGGAGAGAGGGAGAAGAGGAGAGAGAGGGAGAAAGGAGAGAGAGAGGGAGAGAGAGAGAGAGAGAGAGAGAGAGAGAGAGAGAGAGAGAGAGAGAGAGAGAGAGAGAGAGAGAGAGAGAGAGCAGGAGAGGGAGGGAGAAAGGAGAGCAGGAGAGGGAGAGAGGGAGGGAGGAGGGAGGGAGGAGGTAGGGAGGAGGGAAGGGGGAAGGAAGGAAAGAAGGAAGGAAGTAGGGAGAGAGAGAGAGAGAAAGAGAGACAGAGACAGACAGACAGAAAGAGAGAGAGAGAGAGAGAGAGAGATAGAGAGAGAGAGAGAGAGAGAGAGAGAGAGAGACAGAATAGAGGCGGAGACCGAGACAGAAAACCAGAAAGAAAGAAAAGAAAAGGAAAGAAGAAAAAAAAAAACGAATCAAAGAAAGAAAAACAAAAAACACAACAGAAAGTATTGTTCTTGTTAGTGAGCGAAAGATGCCACACAAAGTTTCGCAAAGTCTTCTAAGGAATGATCGAAATTAAAAGGAATTTGACCACCTTTTTATAAAATTTCGTTTGATGCGGACTATCCTTTCCTTTCTTTCTTTCTTTCTTTCTCCTACTCCTCCTCCTCTTCTTCTTCTTCTTCTTATTATTATTATTATTATCATTATTATTATCAGTATCATTATTATTATTACTTATTTTATCTTTTATTATCATCATTTTTATTTTTTGTGGGGGGCGGGGTGTAAATCAAAGCAAAATGACTTTCAAAGAAAAAAAAATACAACAAAACAAACAAACATACAAATAAATAATAAAAGAAAACTATTAATCAAAAATAGAAAAAAATAAAAGACAATTCCATATCCAATTCCAAAGACTTAATTAAACCAGCAAGCGATAAAACCGAATTAAAATTATTATAAAGGAAAGACTTTAATTAGGTAATTCAACGCGGAAAATATTAGTTCAACATCCACGAAACAGCGTCAGGTACAGTATAGTTTAATTACTGACGATGATGATGATGATGGTGGTGATGGTGATGATGAAGGTGATGATGATGATGATGGTGGTTGTGGTGGTGGCGATGGTGGTGATGGTGGTGGTGGTTGTGGTGATTGTGATAATGATGGTGGTTGTGGTGTGGTGATGATGGTGGTGATTGTGATAATGATAATGGTGATAATGATGGAGATGGTGATAATGATCATGGTAATGATGGTGGTAATGGTGATGATGGTGATAATGATGGTGGCGGGGGTGGTGATGGTGGTGATGGTGATGAATTGGTGATGATGGAGATGATGATGGCGACGATGATAATTATAATAATGTAAAGACTATAGTGAAAATAGCAATGATAATGATAATGATGACGATAATCACTATGACGTCGATAATGACGACGACGACGACGATGACAAGTACTAAGAACACATGATAAAGGATGAACATAAGGACAACAGAAGGAGAAATATCGCATAAGAAAAAAAAAGAAAAAAAAAAGAAGAAAAAAAAAAAGCCTAAAATTCTCCCACACTTATTTTCAAAACATTTTCCCAAAAAACAATAAAATGCTAGCCAGAAAAAAATGCAATCCTTCAACGGCTCGACAATGCCCAATGCACACGAATAATTTCCTTTAACAGTTGCCCTTGCAATATCGAGGCTCGAGAGAACAGCCATTTGCAAGATAATATCATTAGCGTCGAGTAATTAGCAAGGCCACTCGCCGAACGTCTAATGACCTTGTTAAGGGAGATGGACGCACGTAGTGAAAAGAGAGAGAGAAATAAAAGAAAGAAAGGAGGGAAGGAGGGAAATGAAGAAGAGGAAAGAAACGAAAGGAAGGAGGGAAGGAAGGAAGGAAATAAAGAAGAGGAAGGAGGGAAGGAAGGAGAGGAAGGAGGGGGAGGGAGGGAGGGAGAGAGAGAGAGGGAGAGAAAGAGAGAGGGGGAGAGAGAGAGAGAGAGAGGGAGAGAGAGAGAGAGAGAGAGAGAGAGAGAGAGAGAGAGAGAGAGAGAGAGAGAGAGAGAGAGAGAGAGAGAAAGAGAAAGTGAGAGAGAAAGAGAAAGACAGAGAGAAAGAGAAAGACAGAGAGAAAGAGAAAGACAGAGAGAAAGAGAAAGACAGAGAGAAAGAGAAAGACAGAGAGAAAGAGAAAGAGAGAGACAACAAACGAAAAAAGAAAAGAAACAGGGAAGGGAAAAACAAAATCCTCTAGTGGAAACAGATCTCGACGCACTCAAAAGGACGAAAAATAATCTTCCTGTTTGTTTGTTGTTATGCAAACTACTTTAACAAGATGATCGCCAATACGTGACCAGATCGACAAACAAACTCTTCCCTTTGTTTGTTATTGCTGTTATAAAAACCACCGCAGCCATTTCAACTCAAAACAACTTGACCTTCAACGTGAAACAACTTCATCTTCAACGTGAAACAACTTCATCTTCAACGTGAAACAACTTCATTTTCAACTCAAAACAACTTCAACGTGAAACAACTTTATCATCAACGTGAAACAACTTCATCTTCAACGTGAAACAACGTCATCTTCAACGTGAAACAACGTCATCTTCAACGTGAAACAACTTCAACTTTAACTTCAACTCAAATTAGTCACATAAAGTTAATACATTAGTCATTAATAATATTTATATAAAGTTATACTAATTACATAAATCACCGGACAACAGCAACAACATTAACAACAATAGCAGAAACAGCAACACCACAAACAACAAGAGCAATAGCAACAACAATAGCAATGACAACAAACTTCAACAACAACAACAAGAACAAAGTATGCTGTCAAACCTTTTTTTTTTTTTTTTTTTTGTCGCTTTGGCTTCGTTCGCGCAACTTCCTGAATCGTTGACAGATCCTTCCTCAATATTGATATATTAATATTCATTGGAATTTAATGCGTGGAATTTAACGTGAAAAAAAAAGGAATAATGGAAAAAAAATATATACTTAAAGGAAAGATTCATTCGTCACGAAACCAAAACAGACAGACGCTTTATATAAATATATATATACATATATATATATATATACAGTAGAAATCGCCTAAGTCGGATGAAAAGGGACCAATGAATTTTATCCGACTTACAGAAAATCCGACTTACAGAAAATTATGATTAATGAAGTCTGGCGGGACGTTGGTGGCGCGTGGCTCGTGCGTCTTTCGCAGCATGCGGTCAGTTAAGAACAATACAGGGATGCGTAGACCAGCTGACTGCAAGGCCCCGACACTCCGGCGCTACTAATAATTAAGGTCACTTACCGTAGATGTCTTGAGCAGTCTGTGATCCAATGAGCGTATGACACGGCTATGTTTTATAGTATTGGTGTAAAGCCAAACCTCATCCGACTTACATGATGTGATTTTAATGGAAATGCATTACATCGGGACTGCAAATTCCATCCGAGTTGTACGAAAATCCGACTGGTAGTCTCCGAGTTACGCGACTAAATTTAATGGAAATAACGTTGGGAAAAATCGGGACCTTTGACACTCATCCAAGTTACGCGAGAGAGAGAGCGAAGAGAGAGAGAAAGAGAGAGAAAGAAAAAAAACACAGAGCGAAAAAAGAGAGAGGGAGATAGAAACAAAGCGAAAAGAGAGAGAGAGAGAGAGAGAGAGAGAGAGAGAGAGAGAGAGAGAGAGAGAGAGAGAGAGAGAGAGAGAGAGAGAGAGAGAGAGAGAGAGAGAGAGAGAAAGAGTTTCTCCGCCTCCTCTCAGCTGAAGAGGCAACGGTCTCGACTCGCCCAGCCAGACGCCCGTCCCTCCACGCCCACCTGATACCCCTAACGCCCACTTGAACACGGACGTCCAAATCCTTCATCTATACCCTTCTCTTCTCCCCTACTTTATCTCCCTTTCATCGTCTTATCCGGTTATCTTTATTCTTCCTACTTCGTATTGATACTTATGCGCTTTCATGGTCTTCTCTCTGCGTTTATATTGTATCGTATTTCCTTCTTTCGTTTTATCGCTTTCTCTTTCTTCTCCTTATTTTCATTATTATTATTTCTTTCTTTTTCTCCTCCTCTCTTTATCTCTATTCGTCTTCCACCTCTTCTACTCTATTCCTCCTCCTTAATTTCTTCCTATTCTTCCTCCTCCTTCCTCCTTCTCCGCCAACTATTCTTCCTTTTGTTCGTTTATTTAATCCTCCTCTTTCTCTCCCTCGGCTTATTCCTTCTTCACATTCCTCCTTACTCCGTTTTTCTTCCTCTCCTTCTACTATTCGTCTTCTTTATTTCTTCTCATCAAGCTCGTCCACTTTTCCTTCCTTTTCTTCTTCCTTTTCTTTTTTTTTGTTTTCATCTCCTTCTTTCTCATCCTCCTCTTCTTTCATTTCTTCTACATTATCTTGTCCCTTATCCTCCTCGTCTTTCTCTTCTTTTTCTTTTTCTTTTGTTTTTCCCTCCTCCTTTTCCATCATCATCTTCCTCTTCTTTTTCTTCTTCTTCTCCTCCTCCTCCTCCCTCCCTCCCACCATTATCATCATCATCATCATCTTCTCCTCCCCTACTCCTCCTCCTCCTCCTCACCCCCTCCCTCCATCATCATCATCATCATCTTCTTCTCCTCCCCCCCTCCTCCTCCTCCTCCTCCTCCCCCCCTCCCTCCATCACCATCATCATTATCTTCTTCTCCTCCCCTCCTCCTCCTCCTCCTCCTCCTCCTCCCTCCCTCCCTCCATCATCATCATCTTCTTCTCCCACCCCCCCCTCCCTCATCACCATCCTCTTCTTTTCCTCCTCCTCTTCCTCCCCCCTCCCTCCACCCCCCTCACCTTGACAGAAGCCCTACGCCGTTCGAACCAAACCCCCATCCAACCACTTCTTACCCCGGCAGAATCAGCTTGGTCGTTAAGCCCTTAGGATCCCAAGGGGAAACTGGTCTCTATTGATCTCTCCCGCACAAGGCAATGCAGGTTCTAGCGAGGGCGACTTGTGGCGGCCATCCCTGTGACGCCGCGTCGCCCATCAAGCGCCTCGTAACATGTTGCGAACACGCGACGGCTTGGTGTGAGTGACGTAAATAAACACACTATGTGGATTTTTCTTCCGTGTGAGTGTCAGTGTTAGTGTTTGTGTTTGTGTGTGTGTGTGTGTGTGTGTGTGTGTGTGTGTGTGTGTGTGTGTGTGTGTGTGTGTGTGTGTGTGTGTGTGTGTGTGTGTGTGTGTGAGTGTAAGTGTGAGTGTGAGTGTGTGTGCGCATATATATATATATATATATATATATATATATATATATATATATATATATATATATATATATATATATATATACATATATATATATATATATATATATATATATATATATATATATATACATATATATATATATATATATATATATATATATATAATATAATATAGATATCTTTATATATATATTTATACATATACTTATATATACCTATCTAATCTATATATCTATCTATAGATATACTTATGAATATTGATAAATAGACATACATACATATATGAATATTTGTTCATGTTTAATGAATTAATAGATATATAATTAGTGGACAAATAAGTAAATAAATAAATAAACAAATAAATGCACAAATACAGAAATGAATAAACAGACAAATAAATAAATCAAATAATAATAGACACAAGAACAAGAACAAGGAATCAAACAAATACTTGGTTAGCTAAACAAATGAATATAGACAAACAAAAAACAAATTGACAAATGCATAAACAAACAAATATACAATATAAATATACAAGAGGACAAATAAACAAACAAATGAACAAATAAACAAAAAGACAAATTGATAAACAAATAAAAAGACAGATGAATAAATACACGAATAAATAAACAAATCAAGCCTTGACAAATAAAAACAACATAAACAAATAAATACATAAATAGACAAATATATAAATAATTAAGAAAAACAATAATTCAGTAAATCGTAAACAAACAAAGGTAAAAAGTGAATTCAAAAAAATAAAAGCCAGTGATAAATAATCTGAATAAAGAAAGACACGAATAATGACTAAATGAATAAATGAATGAATAAATAAAGACAATAATAAAAAATAAAATAAAGGCAATAATAAAAAAATAAAGACAATAATGACAAAAATAAACAAAGTCAGCAATGATAAAATATAATAAATAAACAAATGAATAGATAAATAAATAAAGACAATGACACTAACAAATAAATAAATAAATAAAGGCAAACGAATGAATGGACAAACAAATGAATTTACAAATAGATAAACAAACAAATCAATAAATAAGCAAATAAACACGTAATAAATTAAACAAATAAACAAGTGACCAGATAAACAATTAATCAAACAATTAAAATAAACAAATCAATAAACATACAATTAAAATAAACAAATCAATAGACAAACAAATAAATAATTCAATAAACAAACAAAATAAACATTTTTAAAAGCTTTATATGGATTTATTCTTTATTTAACAAATAAATAATTCAATAAACAAACAAAATAAACATTTTTAAAAGCTTTATATGGATTTATAACTTTTTACGTCCGCAGATTAAACAATGTGTAGACATCTGACAAGAATTGAAAATTAAAAGAATAATAGTAATAAAGATAATAACAATATTAATAATAATAATAATAATAACAATAATAGTAATGAAAAACAATAAAAATAGTAATTATAATAATAATAATATGCATTTTTTTTTTTACTGTCACAATTCTTATATATATATATAGACAAAAAAAATCCCCCCCCCCCTTACCTCCTTTAAAAATCCGTCCCCTTAACAACCTCCCCTTTCCTCCCTTGAAAGAAAGAAAGAAAGCAAAAAGGAAAAAGGAAAAAAAAAGTGTCCAGCTTCCCGTTTTCTTTTTCGACGCACGTTTTCTTCGCCCTGCCGACGCGAGGGGCGACTTGAAGAATTTCCGACCAAGTAACAAGACACTTACACAAAAGCGCCGAGATTAAAATTCACTCTCAATTTGTCGTTTCTGTCCTTTTTTTTTCTTGGGGGGGGGGGGGGGGCGGATTTTCTCTCCCATTTCATTCCTTGTTTTCCTGTTTTTTTGTCGTTTTTTCTGGCTTTTTTTTTCCAATCTTTTCTTCTTTTAGAGCTGGGTTGATGCTGTGGTTTTCTGTTTTTGTTGTTTTGTTTTACTTTTTTTAAATTTTAACTTTACTCTCGAAGTTATTATTATTTTTTAAATGTCTCTCAGCAAACTACTTCGGGAAACTTGACGTAATCTTTGAAATGTAATCTATTTTCTTTTACTTTTTATTTTATTTTCTATTTTTTTGCACTTTTTTCTTTCACTTAGAATCATTCTCCCCCCCCCCCTTTTTTTTAACCTTAGCTTCTCTCCCTTAGAATAAATAAAGAAAGAAAGATAATAAAATAATAATAAAAAAAAAAAAAATGAAATGAATAGAACAAGAGGCTAAAAGTCATCAGTATCATTACTTATTAGATTACTTATTCTCTCTCTCTCTCTCTCTCTCTCTCTCTTTTTGCTATGCTGTCCCATCTCCCCTTTCTCTTATTTTCCTTTTAAGCCTTCCTTTCTCATGATTTTCTGACCAGGAACTCTTTAAACCTTAATCTCCCCCTCCTTTCTCTTTCATTTTTCTTTTCCCTTCCTCCCATTTACCTCCCTTTCCACCTCTCCTCTCTTCCCCTTCCTTCTCTTCCACATCTCCTCACTTCCTTTTCCTCCTCCTCCTTCCTTCCTCCTCTCTTCTCTTTTGTCCACCTGTCCTGTCTTCTCCTCTCCTCTATTCTCTCTCTTCTCCCGTCCTTCCCCCTCTCTCCGCCTCTCCTCTTCCATTTTCTCCTTTCCTCCCTATCCACCTTTCTTTTCCACCTCTCCCCCATCCATCTTTCTTCTCCACTTATCCTCCATCTATCTTTTTTTTTCTCCACTTATACCTCCATCCATCTTTCTTCTCCACTTATCCTCCATCTATCTTTTTTTCTCCACTTCTCCTCCATCCATCTTTCTTCTCCACCCCTTCCACCTCTCCTTCCTCCCACCCCACCCCTTCCTCTCCTACTCTCCCCTTCCCCCAACAGCCCACTTCATTCACAGAGGCAAGAGCGACAGTCGTTTAAATGAAAAAAAAGAGAAAAAAAAAAGAAAAAAAGGGGAAAAAAGAAAATAAAGGGAAAGAAAAGAGAAGGAGGAAAACAAAAAAATGAAGAAATAAAAAGAGCAGCCTGTTTGCCGGCGACGCAAAAGAGGCAGTAACAAAGTGCGAAGGCCAGAGGAGCACCAAGCAGACCCGACTTCACGCCAGTCTTGCTTTGTTTCGTTGTCGGCCTTTCCGCCTAGAGGGAGAGAGGGGAGAGGGGAGAGGGGAGAGGGAATAGGGGGGAGAGGGGACAGGGGAGAGAGGGGACAGGGGAGGGGAAACGAGAGGAGGGGAAGGGGGAGAGGTGATAGGTGAGGGGAGAGGGGAGAGGGGAGAGAGGGGAGGGAAACGAGAGGAGGGGAATGAGGGACAGGGGAAAGGGGAGAGGGAAGGAGGGACAGGGGAAAGGGGAGAGGGAAGGAGAGACAGGGGAAGGGGGAGAGGAAGGAGGGACAGGGGAAAGGGGAGAAGGAGGGATAGGGGAGGGGAAACGAGAGGAGGGGAAGGGGGAGAGGTGATAGGTGAGGGGAAACGAGAGGAGGGGAAGGAGGGACAGGGGTAGGGGGGAGAGAGGACTGCGGAGGGGAAACAAGAGAAAGGGAAGGAGGGACAGGGGAAGGGGGAGAGGAAGGAGGGACAGGTGAAAGGGGAGAAGGAGGGATAGGGGATAGGGGAGGGGAAACGAGAGGAGGGGAAGGAGGGACAAGGGATAGGGGAGGGGAAACGAGAGGAGGGGAAGGAGGGACAGGAGAGAGGGGAGAGGAAGGAGGGACAGGTGAAAGGGGAGAAGGAGGGATAGGGGATAGGGGAGGGGAAACGAGAGGAGGGGAAGGAGGGACAGGAGAGAGGGGAGAGGAAGGAGGGACAGGTGAAAGGGGAGAAGGAGGGATAGGGGATAGGGGAGGGGAAACGAGAGGAGGGGAAGGAGGGACAAGGGATAGGGGAGGGGAAACGAGAGGAGGGGAAGGAGGGACAGGAGAGAGGGGAGAGGAAGGAGGGACAGGGGAAAGGGGAGGAGAGGGAAGGGAAAGAGGGGAGGTGATAGGTGAGGGGAAACGAGAGGAGGGGAAGGAGGAGAGGAGGAAGATAGAGGGGACAGGAGGAGAGAGAAAGAGAGGAGAGGGGAGGGACAGAAGAAAAGGGAGAGGGCAAAGAAGTGAAAAGGAAGGAGAAGGGAGGAAGGGATGGAGGTAGAGACAGGGAGAAAGAAAGGGAAGAAGGATGGAAGGGAGCGTGTGAAGGAGGGACAAAGGAAGGGGAGAGGTGGAAGGGAAGGAGAGGGGAGAGGGAAAGGGAGAGAGGGTGAAGAAATAAGAGGATAGAGGGAAGAGGGGAGAAACAGGGGGATCTCGAGGAAAAATGAGAAGGAAAAGGATAGCGTGAATGAAGAGAGAGAGAGAGCGAGAGAGAGAGAGAGAGAGAGAGAGAGAGAGAGAGAGAGAGAGAGAGAGAGAGAGAGAGAGAGAGAGAGAGAGAGAGAGAGAGAGAGAGAGAGAGAGAGAGAGAGAGAGAGAGAGAGAGAGAGAGGAGACAGACAGAGAAGAGAGAGAGAGAGAGAGGAGAGAGAGAGAGAGAGAGAGAGAGAGAGAGCAAAACATGAGAGAGAGGAGAGAGAGAGCAACGAGTAGAGAGAAAAAGAGGAGAGAGAGAGAGAGCACGAAGAGAAGGGGAGATAGAGAGAGAGAGAAGAGAGGAGAGGAACGAGAGAGAAGAGCAGAAGCGAGAGAGAGAGAGAGAGAGAGAGAGAGAGAGCGAGAGAGAGAGAGAGCGAGAGAGAGAGAGAGCGAGAGAGAGAGAGAGAGAGAGCGAGAGAGAGAGAGAGAGAGCGAGAGAGAGAGAGAGAGAGCGAGAGAGAGAGAGAGCGAGAGAGAGAGAGAGAGAGAAAGAGAGGAGGGGAAGGAGGGACAAGGGATAGGGGAGGGGAAACGAGAGGAGGGGAAGGGGGAGAGGTGATAGGTGAGGGGAAACGAGAGGAGGGGAATGAGGGACAGGGGAAAGGGGAGAGGTGATAGGTGAGGGGAAACGAGAGGAGGGGAAGGGGGAGAGGTGATAGGTGAGGGGAAACGAGAGGAGGGGAAGGAGGGACAGGTGAAAGGGGAGAAGGAGGGATAGGGGATAGGGGAGGGGAACCATATACTCCCCCCCCCACCCCCTCCCTTTTCCACGTCACAATACCACGTAAAAGGCAACCCCCCCCCCCATGAATATTCCCGCCAGGAATTTCCCTCCACCTCCCTCCCCACCCTTACCCTTCCCTTCCCTCCCTCCCTCCCTACCCCTCCCACCTCTATCCTTCCCTTCCCTCCCTCCCTCCCTCCCTTCCTCCCCCTCCCCTCTACCCCCCCCCACCACCACCACCCCGGGCGGACGCAAACTCTTTCCCAATTACAAGCTTTAACTCTGGAAACTTTGCCACGAATCTGACTCACAAAATCCTGGGGGGGGGGGGGAAAGTTGCTTGACTTATCTATTTATCTATTTAACTTTAGTTTTAGTTGACTTATTTTATTTTATTATCATTAATTTTTATTTTTATATTGACTCGTTTTTTTCATTTTTTGTTTCTTTTTCACTTTTTAGTTGACTTATTTTATTTTATCATCATTATTTGTATTGTTATTTTGACTCGTTTTTCTTCTTTTTTCACTTTTCAGTTAACTTATTTTATTCTATTGTCATTATTTTTTATTTTTAATTTTGACTCGTTCTTTTTTTTTGTTTTTTGCTTTTTGGGGGGATCTTATTTTTGTTGTGGTTCTTCGTTTCCTTCTTTTTTTTCTTTTCTCCTTCTTCTTCTTCTTCTTCTTCTCCTCTTCCTATTCCTTTTCTCTCTCTTTCTTCTTCTTTCACTTTTCCCTTTTCTCCATCATCTTATTCCAAAAAGCTTTTCTATTTTCTATATTTTCCCTTTTTAATCAACATTATAAGAACCTTAATCTAAAATTAATTTCCATCCGCCCCCACCCGCGTAGAAATTTTCAAAGACTACGCGACGCAGGCCGACGCAGGTCTGTATCTGCGCTGCGACTTCCTGCGCGACAACGTGCGAGCTTTAAGAGAGTGATATGTAGTTTTTCGTCCTTCCCTGCGCTGCGTCGCCTGTGTCACCTGCGTCTGCTTGATACTCGTAGTACGTGATTCCGCCTCTTGTTTCTCTCCATAAAAAAAGATAACAAATAAGAGAATAAAAAACAACAAATACATAATAAAATAGTGTCATAGAAAGAGTCGAGAGACGCAGTACACGGGTACATCAACCTCCCCTCCCTCCCCCCCTTCCCTCTCCCATCCGCTCGCACTTCCATCACCCTCGCCCCTTCCCCCCCTCCCCTACCCCCACCCACTTCTATCATTCTCGCCTCTCCCCCCTCCCCCTTCCCTACCCCATATCTATCAACCTCCCCCCTCCTCCCATCCCCAACAACCTGCCCCCCCTCTCCCCCATCCCCATCAACCTGCTCCCCTCACCTCCTCCCCCCACACCTGCTGCTTCCCGACGTGGAAATGACCCGACGATACGACGTAAAGAGGAAAACACAGCGAGGTTACATCAGGTCCCGCCAGCGCTGTCTGTCCTGTCTGTTTGTCTCTCTCCCTCTCTCTCTCTCTGTCTTTGTATGTCTGTCTCTCCCTCTCTCTCTCTCTCTGTCCCCCTCTCTCTCTCTCTCTCTCTGTCCCTCTCTTTCTTTCTCTCTATCTTTACTTATTTATTTATTTCTCTCTCTCTGGCTCTCTTTCTCTTTCTCTTTCTCTCCCTGGTTCTCTTTTTCTCTCTCTGGTTCTCTTTCTCTCTCTCTGGCTCTCTTTCTCTCTCTCTGGCTCTCTTTCTCTCTCTCTAGCTCTCTTTCTCTCTCTCTGGCTCTCTTTCTCTCTCTCTGGCTCTCTTTCTCTCTCTCTGTCTCTCTCTCTCTCTCTCTCTCTGCCTCTCCCTCTCTCTCTCTGCCTCTCCCTCTCTCTCTCTGCCTCTCCCTCTCTCTCTGCCTCTCTCTCTCCCTCTCTCTCTGCCTCTCTCTCTCTCTCTCTCTCTCTGCCTCTCTCTCTCTCTCTCTCTGCCTCTCTCCCTCTCTCTCTCTATTTTAACTTTTCTCTGTGCTTTTGACTGTCTAACATATGCTTAACCTCCCATTATTCTTTCTCTCTCTCTTCCTCTCTCATTTTTTCTCTTTTTCTCTTCCGTTCTTTCTCTTCCTCTCTTTCCATTTCTTTTATACCTCCTTTCTCCCCCCTTCCCCCCTCTCTACGTTTATCTTTTCTCTACTTCTTTCCACCTTTCGTTGCTATTCTATCCCATATTCTCTCTCTTATTCCTCTTCCCCATTTCTTTTACCTCGTATCTTCTCTTTCTTCTCGATCTTCCCTCTCATCTTTCCACTCTTTGTCCCTCTCTCTTCTCCTTCCTTTATCCTATTATTTTATCTACCTCTCTCTTCTCACCTTTCTCCTTCCTTCCATTCATCTATTTCCCCCTCTCTCTCTTCGCTTCTTTCTTTCCTCCTCTACTTTTCTACCCTTGTCATTCTTCCTTTCCCCTCTCTCTTCCTCTCCTCCCTTCGGTAATTTCCCTGAAATGTTTTATTTTCTCCATTTCTCTCTCTCCCCTCATTGTGTTTCTCTTTTCCTCTCCCTCTTTTATTTGCTTTATACATTTTTCATGTATCTCTCTTTCTTTGTTGTTTTTTTTCTTTCCTTTCACTTTGTTCTCCTTCCACTTTCTCTTTCCCTCCCTTATTTATCTTTCTTTCTTCCTCCTCTTCCCTACGTTTCTGTTCCTGTTCCCTGTCCATGTCCTTCCCATTCTCCTTCTCCCTCCCCCTCACTCTTTCCTCTTCCCTCTTCCCTTTCCCTATTCTTCTCCCTCCCTCTATTCTTCACCATCTTCCTCTCTCCCTCTCTCCTTCCTTCCCTCCATTTCTCTCTCTCTCTCTCTTTCTCTCTCTCTCTTCTCTTTCTCTCTCTCTCTTCTCTTTCTCTCTCTCTCTTCCCCGCACTCTCTCTCTTCCCCTCACTCTCTCTCTTTCTTCCCCTCACTCTCTCTCTTTCTTCCCCTCACTCTCTCTCTCTCTTCCCCTCACTCTCTCTCTCTCTTCCCCTCACTCTCTCTCTCTTCCCCTCCCTCTCTCTCTCTTCCCCTCCCTCTCTCTCTCTTCCCCTCCCTCTCTCTCTCTTCCCCTCCCTCTCTCTCTCCTTCTTACTCACTCTCTCCCTCTCACTCTTCCATTCTCCCTCCCTCCCTCCCTCTCAGTCTCCCTTTCTATTTTCCTTTTTTTCTAGACATGACAGGTATATGCACCCTGTCACCGTGATTGGCATGTCTACTTGTCATGTCAAACCCAAGCCATCACGAGCGAGACAGACGAACATGTCACGTCACAGCTTCAATGTATATCGCACGTCAATCGCTTCATGGCATGGTGCAATAAAATGCAATTATGCAGAAATTAAGAAAAGGAGGAGACGTGACACTTAATTTGTGTGTCACGCCCATACCTTACGGAATTGTTCATGCGTACATATACATACACATATACATTCAAATGCAAATGCACGTAAACACTCAAACTCACATATACATGAATATTTAAATGCACATACATATGTCCAAACATGCACGTGCGCACACACACACACACACACACACACACACACACACACACACACACACACACACAGATAGACACACACACACACACACACACACAGACACAGAGACACACAGACACACACACGCCCACGGTCACGCCCACCACGCCCGGAAGAGGATCGGCGTTCATCGGAGTCAATCTCTTTAAGGTGGATGTCCTCGTGTCCCTCTGTTTCTCTGTCTTTCGATTTCTCTGTCTCTGTTTCTTTCTTGTCTTTTTTCTCTTTCTCTGTCTTTTTCTCTTTACCTTTCCCTCTGTCTCTGTTTGTGTCTCTCTCTCTCTTTTCTCTCTCTCTCTTTCATTTTTTTTCTCTCTTTTTTCTTTCTCTCTGGCTTTCTCTCTTTCTCTCTGGCTTTCTCTCTTTCTCTTTCACTCACTCTCTGTCTTTCTCTTTTTCTCTTTTATCTTTATCTTTCTCTCTCTCTCATTCTTTCTCTTTCTCTTTCTCTCTCTCTCTAAAAATAAGAATATAATAAACCATTAACTGGACAAAAAAAGTAAATCAATAAATATAAAAAATATATATATGTAAAAAACTAAAAAAAAAAAAAAAAAAAAAAAAAAAAAAAATATATATATATATTTTTATATATGCACAAAATCTAAAAACCATAAACTAAGCTAAAGAAAGAGAGAAAAAAAGAAAAACACGCACTCATAAAAAATAAATAAAATAAAATAAAACAGACATTATACAACACACAAAATACACACAGTAATCATTAACTAAAACAAATATAATCCATAAAAAAATAGAAATAAAAATCAGCCTTAAACTAAACCAAAATAATACAACACAAAATAAATAATAAAAAAGTACATCAAATAAAAATCATGAAATAAAAATTCAATACAGAAAAAGAAATTATAAAAAACAATTAAAAAATACAGAAACTAGATCCCCAAAAATCGACCCCAAAAACTAGACCCCAAGAATCGACCCCAAAAATTAGACCCCAAGAATCGACCCCAAAAATTAGACCCCACACTAGACCCCCATGAATCGACCCCAAAAACTAGACCCCCAAGAATCGACCCCAGAAACTAGACCAAAAGAATCGACCCCAGAAACTAGACACCAAGAATCGACCCAAAAAACTAGACCCCCAGGAATCGATCCCAGAAGCTAGACCCCAAGAATTGACCCCAGAAACTAGACCCTAAGAATCGACCCCAGAAACTAGACCCCAAGAATCGACCCCAGAAACTAGACCCCAAGAATTGACCCCAGAAACTAGACCCTAAGAATCGACCCCAGACACTAGACCCCAAGAATCGACCCCAGAAACTAGACCCCAAGAATCGACCCCAGAAACTAGACCCCAAGAATCGACCCCAGAAACTAGACCCCAAGAATCGACCCCAGAAACTAGACCCCAAGAATCGACCTAAGAAACTAGACCCCCAAGAATCGACCCCCAGAAGCTATACCCCCAGGAATCGACCCCAGAAACTAGACCACAAGAATCGACCCCAGAAACTAGACCAAGAATCGACCCCAGAAACTAGACCAAGAATCGACCCCAGAAACTAGACCCCCAAGAATCGACCCCAGAAACTAGACCCCAAGAATCGACCTCAGAAACTAGACCCCAAGAATCGACCCCCAGAAGCTATACCCCCAGGAATCAACCCCAGAAACTAGACCCCAAGAATCGACCTCAGAAACTAGACCCCAAGAATCGACCCCAGAAACTAGACCCCAAGAATTGACTCCAGAAACTAGACCCCAAGAATCGACCTCAGAAACTAGACCCCAAGAATCGACCCCCAGAAGCTATACCCCCAGGAATCAACCCCAGAAACTAGACCCCAAGGATCGACCTCAGAAACTAGACCCCCAAGAATCGACCCAAAGAATAGACCCCCAGGAATCAATCCCAAGAATCAACCCCTAGGAATCGACCCTAAGAATAGACCCCCAGGAATCAATCCCAAGAATTAACCCCTAGGAATCGACCCTAAGAATAGACCCCCAGGAATCAACCCCAGACATTAGACCCCCCAGGAATCGACCCTAGGAATCGACCCCGGAAACTAGACCCTCAAGAATCGACCCCAGACATCAGACCCCCCAAGAATAGCCCCTCAAGAATCGACCCCAGACATTAGACCCCCCAAGAATCGACCCTAGGAATCGACCCCAGAAACTAGACCCCCAGGATTCGATCCTCAAGAATCGACCCCAAAAACTAGACCCTCAAGAATAGCCCCTCAAGAATCGACCCCAGACATTAGACCCCCCAAGAATCGACCCTAGGAATCGACCCCAGAAACTAGACCCCCAGGATTCGACCCCCCCCAAGACAAGCCGTGTGTCTCCATTCCCGTGATTGGCGAAGGAAGAGCCATGAATATGCCATCTGATCTCCTTAATGTGACTCTCTGTCTATATATATCATGGGCTGAAAACGGAGGGAAGGGAAGGAGGGAAGGGAAGGAGGGAAGGGAAGGAGGGAAGGGAAGGAAGGTAAGAGGGGGGAGGGAGGGTAAGAGGGAAGGGGGAGGGAGGGAAAGGAGGGAGGGAGGAAGGACAGGGGGAAGAAGGGAGAGGGGGAGGAGAGGGAAGGGAGGGAAGGGAGGGAGGGTAAGAGGAGGGGGGAGGGATGGAAAGGAGGGAGGGAGGAAGGACAGGGGGGAAGAAGGGAGAGGGGGAGGAGGGGGGAGGAGGGAGTGAGAGGGGGAAGAGAGAGGTAGACGAGGGGGAGAGAGGGAAAGGGAAGGAGTAGAGGGGAGGCAAATGAAGAGTGAGAGGGAGGGAGAAAGGGGGAAGGTGAGAGGGAGATGGAGAGAGGGGAAAGAGGGAGGGGGAAAGGATGAAGGGGAGGGAAGTGGGGAGGGAGAGGGAGAGGGAGGAAGAGAGGGAGAAGCTGAGAGGGAGGGGGGGAAGAGAAGAGAGGAGAGAGAGGGAGTGGGATAGGGTAGGGGGAAGAGGGAGAGGGGGGAAGGGGGGAGAGGGAGGGAGGAAGGAAGGGAGGAAGGAAGGGAGGGAGGGAGGGAGGAAGGAAGGGAGGGAGGGAGACAGAGAGAGAGAGAGAGAGAGAGTGAGTGAGAGAGAGAAGGGAGTAAATAGAATGAAAAGAGAAGAGTAAAAGTATAATGAAAATTTTCTTCTTCAAATTTTTATTTTCTTTTAAATAAATTTTTGTATTAAGCATTATGAACTGGCGATTACGGTCTTTTTTTAATATTTGAGTTGCGTAAAATCCCTTAAAAGTGGCTCCAACAGGATTATTTTTATCATAAAACCATCACAAATCGTATTACCGTTCGTCAAAAACAGCTTTACCAAGTTAAAACTAATTCTCTCCGGGGAAATAAATCTATCGCATAATAAAAAGATAATATTCAAGAGTACATGCCCCCGCGCGCGCGTGTGTATGTATGTGTGTGTGTGTGTCCATCTTTTATTTTCTCCTTCTCGACCTTCCTCTCCAACTTCCATTTTCTTCCTCTCCTTCTCCATCTTCTCATCCTTCTATCCCAACTTTTATTCTCTCCCTCTCCTCCTCCTCCTTCCTCACCAGCTTTTATTCTCTCCCTCTCCTTCTCCTCCTTTTTCCACTCCAACTTTTATTCTATCCCTTTCTCTCCCCTATCCCTGCTCCTACTCCCATTCCTTCTCCTTCTTCTTCTCCTCCTCCTTTTTCTTTTCCTTCTCCTCCTTCTTCCTCCTCCTATTCCTTCTCCTTCTCCTTTTCCTTTTCCTTCTCCTGTTCATTTTCATTTTCATTTTCCTTCTCCTCCTCCTCCTTTTCCTTCTCATTTTCCTCCTCCTCCTTTTCCTTTTCCTATTCCTACTCCTTCTCATTTTCCTCCTCCTCCTCCTCCTCCTCCTCTTCTTTTTTCCTTTCCCATTTCCTTCTCCTCCTCATCCTATTCCCACCCCCACCCCCACGCCCTCTTTCCCTGACTGTCGACAAGAAATGTGTATCTCGGAGGCGGTCGTCCACACCTACTCCCATTCCTTCTCCTTCTTCTCCTCCTTTTCCTTCTCCTTTTCCTCCTCCTCCTCTTCTTTTTTTCCTTTTCCTCCTCCTCCTCCTCTTCTTTTTTTCCTTTTCCTCCTCCTCCTATTCCCACCCCCACGCCCTCTTTCCCTGACTGTCGACAAGAAATGTGTATCTCGGAGGCGGTCGTCCACTCATACTCCCATTCCTTCTCCTTCTTCCTCTCCTCCTCCTTTTCCTTTTTCTCCTCCTCCTCTTCTTTTTTTCCTTTTCCTCCTCCTCCTATTCCCACCCCCACGCCCTCTTTCCCTGACTGTCGACAAGAAATGTGTATCTCGGAGGCGGTCGTCCAAAATCTCCATTGATATTCCTGTCACTTTGTCCCACGCAGGTTTATCTTAGCCTGGCAGGACAAAGACGCCCTAATCAACGGAGTGTGGAAGGGCGTAATTCGCTCGGCAGTTTCATTTAACCTTCTGGTCTCAAGCCTTCGTCTTTCACACTTCGCTTCTGTCTGTCTGTTTTTTTTTTCGTTGTCTGTATTAGTTATTTTCATTTCCTGGCGCTGTGTCACATTTTTTTTTCTTCAGGGTTTCTGTCTTTGTGTGTGTGTGTGTGTGTGTGTGTGTGTGTGTGTGTGTGTGTGTGTGTGTGTGTGTGTGTGTGTGTGTGTGTGTGTGTGTGTGTGTGCGTGTGTGTCTCTGTATGCCTGTGTCTGATCCTCCTCCTTATCCTCCTCTTCATCTTCCTCCATCTCCCTCCTCTTCATCTTCCTCCATCTCCCTCCTCTTCATCTTCCTCCATCTCCCTCCTCTTTCTCTTCCTCCATCTCCCTCCTCTTTCTCCTCTTCCACCTTCCCCTCCTCTTCATCTTCCTCCATCTCCCTCCTCTTCATCTTCCTCCATCTCCCTCCTCTTTCTCTTCCTCCATTTCCCTCCTCTTTCTCCTCTTCCACCTTCCCCTCCTCTTCATCTTCCTCCATCTCCCTCCTCTTCATCTTCCTCCATCTCCCTCCTCTTTCTCTTCCTCCATCTCCCTCCTCTTTCTCCTCTTCCACCTTCCCCTCCTCTTCTCTTTCTCCCTCTTCCCCTCCTCTTCCTCTTCTTTCGCCTGCCCAGTCCAGAAAACAATGTCATGCACAAGTTACCGCTTGCTTACGAAACTGTACATGCGTTTCCTTAGCGTTGGATATTGTGCCTGACTTTGCCCTGGCTTTGGCTGCAACTCCTCCCTTAATCCCCTCTCTCTTGTGTTCTCTTTCCGTATTTATTCACTTCTCTCTCTCTCTCTCTTTTGTTTTTTTTTCTCTCTCTTTCGTTTTCTCTCTCTGTCTCTCTCTCTTCCTCTCTGTCTCTCTCTCTCTCTCTTCGTTTCTCTCTCTCTCTTTCGTTCTCTCTCTCTCTCTCTCTCTCTCTCTCTCTCTCTCTCTCTCTCTCTCTCTCTCTCTCTCCTCTCTCTCTCTCTTCCTCTCTGTCTCTCTCTCTTCTCTCTCTCTCTCTCTCTCTCTCTTCTCTCTCTCTCTCTCTCTCTCTCTCTCTCTCTCTCTCTCTCTCTCTCTCTCTCTCTCTCTCTTTCGTTTTCTCTCTCTCTCTTTCGTTTTCTCTCTCTCTCTTTCGTTTTCTCTCTCTCTCTCTCCCTCTCTCTCTATTCGGGCAATCACTCATTTACTTATGGTTATTTAATCATCTGCTCATTCATTCACTCAGTCATACTCATCTATTCATCCATTCATTCATTCATTATCACTCACACACACGCACGCACTCACGCACTCACACACACACACATCCATCCTCTCACTCACTCACTCATCCACTCACATCCATCCTCTCACTCACTCACTCATCCACACACATCCATCCTCTCACTCACTCACTCATCCACACACATCCATCCTCTCACTCACTCACTCATCCACTCACATCCATCCTCTCACTCACTCACTCATCCACTCACATCCATCCTCTCACTCACTCACTCATCCACTCACATCCATCCTCTCACTCACTCACTCATCCACTCACCCAAATCGCCATCCATTGAATCCTAAATACCTACGAGTCTCGACGGAGAAATTAAATGAAAAAAAGAAGAAAAAAATCCCCATCATTTTATTTCTTAATTCTTTTCGGGCAGTCTCGTAAAGATCGGGATTTTTAGAAAAAAAAATGATAGAGGTCCAGGCAAGGAATTTCTCCCACGAACACATGGGAAACAGGGGATATTTTCAACCTCTAATAATAATAATAATAATAATAATAATAATAATAATAATAATAATAATACCGATAATAATAATAATAAAAAAAAATAATGATACAGGAAATGATAATAGTCTTATTAGTGTGTGTGTGTTTAGAGAGAGAGAGAGAGAGAGAGAGAGAGAGAGAGAGAGAGAGAGAGAGAGAGAGAGAGAGAGAGAGAGAGAGAGAGAGAGGAGGAGGAGGAGGAAAAGGAGGAGGAGAGAGAGAGAAACGCGTGCGGGTGTGTGTGTGTCTGTGTGCTCTAGTTAATATTAACATTAACTCCAGTTAATGCTTTAGTTAACAGAATCACAACCTTTCTCATTAATACTAATGCATT